GAATGAGAGTACCACAGGGAAGAAGGTAGAAGGCGACGAGAACATAGAGAAGACGCTTGGGTCTATTGCTTGGGCTGGTCCCTTAAGACCGTTTGTCCGCCATTGTTCATTATTCAAAATTTATTTTTATTTTGTATTAAACTGATTGTTCAATCGAATTTGTGATTAGTTTGTGTGTCAAGGAGCATTTACAGGTCAGTTGATTAATTATTATTTTGTTTTTGAGAGTTAAATTATTTATACAAGTATCATTTGTTTCATTTTTATGTTTTTTTGGTTTGTTTATAACATTTTTTATAACATGTGCATTGTCCATGTATTTAACAAAAATCGTTTCATGCTGTAAACAACACAGATAAAGAGTAAACTAAATCCTAAGAAATTAAGTGCTGTCTTTTTGTGCTGATATTTTGATTTTTGTGTATTTAGAACATGCATTATTAGGGCCTTGTTGAATTTACCTACTAACATTTTCCTACCCTGACGAGCGAATATCCTACCAAACAAAGGAAAGAGATATTGGCTCAAAATAACAACTATAGCTGGGTAGCATCCAGTATAGGACCTCAGTACCTTCCGGCAGACCGGTTAACTAACAAAAAAACTCTTCAGTATTGATTATAGGTAGTGTTGATTGAATGTAGGGTATGTAATTAAACACAAGAACAGGGGCGGTACCTAATTTGAACTTTAATTGACTTAAGTTATTGAATTAATAACTCACAATTATTTTAAAAAATGACACAATATGTTTCGATTTTTGAGGAATGTAGATCGAGGGTTTCTCTGCCATGCTCTTTCCCCTCGTTAGTTCTAGGATGAGAAAGGTACGATTTACTTTAATAATAAAGTAGACGTTTCACAAATTTTTCGTTTCTTCTGCATATCGCAACAACCCTTAAATTTCCCAAATATTTGCTATGTCGAGCGCATGGCCAGTGAGTAAAATTGAGTAAGTTGCCACAACGTAGGTCCTATTTGTTTTTCAGAAGATTTGTTGTTTAAAAGGTAATAAAAATTCACATCGTTCAATCTTACTGAACGAACCCGGGTATATTATACTACAAAATATCTGTCAAGTATATTTTACTTGAAAGCTTCTGAAAATTTGTACTTAAGTGATATTAAATTACTTAAGTACTAGTGAAATTACTTGAAGTAAATATTTTTTAATTGAAGTATGTTTGAATACTTCAAAATTTACTTGACGACTAAATAAAATTTTGTCTATTTATCGCGTGATGTCATAAACACACGCAAAAATTGCAAAACCTATTTAAACTGACGCAGCAATAGATGTGAGAACGCAAAAACAATACGATTATATCGATAATAGCTCTGTTCCCACCGACATGAGAAACGTTCTAGAACAGTAATTTTCAGTCGATTAATTCATTATAGTTGGGCAACTGGAAATTACTAGTTTTGGAACGGTTCTCATGTCGGTTGGAACAGAGCTAACATATGCAGCAAGAATCAGAAAACGCGCTATCGGACTCAGATTGTGCATATGACGTCACAGTGCTAGAAGTGGGAACCACGGTATCTTCGCAACGGTTGGTCGTAGCCTGGTGCGGTTTGAAAATTTGTTCTTGAATTTTTGTTTTCTAAAACTTTTATTTTTCGTTCACACCCCCCTTAAGATTATCTATAGCAATAATTTAATTTGTTAGTTTAATTCGAACAATACTTGAAATAAAAAATGCTTAAATTATTTTTTGAAGTATTTTTAGGTAAATGTCATTTCAAGCAAGTTTAAGTAAATACTTAAACTTGACTCTGGCTTTTGTGGAATTTGGTACATATTGTACTTGAATTTAAACAATTCAAGTTAATTTACTTGATATTCTAAGTATTTCCTTCTGTACTTATACTTGTACTGGTACTTGATTCGTATTGAAAAAGAAATTGGTAGGTACTTGATACTTGAGTACTTTTTCTTGGTACTTACATCAGCTCTGTCAGTAGGACTAATAATGATTGTCAGAGTCAGCATCCATTTTTAACCCAAAAGGGACAAAATTTATTTTTTAAATTTAGAATTATCTCACCATTCAATTAACAAAAGGATCTTTTAAAGCCCTCCAGGAGTCGTAAAGTGACATTTCTAGCCCTATGAACTTAATGCCATATAAGCTTTATCGTTAATTTAGGTTTTGATAACACGGTTGTAAACAGAGAACTTTTACGATCCTCTTTTTATTTGAAAAGATTTTAGATTATAGTAAAGTCCACTTGGCTGGCCAAACGTATTAAAAAACATTCCAATAACAATCGTGTTGTTGGACAAAAGGGGGCTGTAAAATTTTTCAAGGGGTAGCTATGATTGGTATAAGAGATAGCGAAAATAACTTGGCGATGTTATGCGGTTATCTTTATGGCAAGCGGTTTTGAAATAACTGGACATAAGAGCTAACAAGTTAGAATTTCAAGAGCGCTGGTGGAATTTCAGTATATTAATAAAATATTTTTCAACCATTGGGATGAACAAAGACTATAAAATAAGCACTTTTTGTAGGAATCAATGGATTTTCCAGGTTGACAAATCTCAAATAATAAAGTCCAAAGTTGTAATTCACAAAGATAATTCATTTATACTGAATATTTTGGCAAGTAAACATATTTTTTTTATTTATTTTAATCATCAAAATGCTTATCGTTGCATTTTAAAGGTTATTAATGAAAGTTTAATTGTTTATCTTGATTTTTAATTGGCAACTCTAAAAAAGTCAAACTTTAATGCTACAACAATCAAATCGAAAACAAATTTGTTTTCATTATGTTTGCTCAATTTCTAATGTATTTCGCTTTTACAACGCAAATGTTTCTGTTGATATCTTCATGCGTTTTGAAATTTGCCATTTAGTGACAGTAGAAAACATTGTTTTGTATAATACGGATGATCATGATTAAGAAGAAGGAAAACGAAAATTGAATATAGTTTTGGAAGTAGAGAAATATCATGTAATGGTAGATTTAGAAGAAGATGGTTGAATTTTTGGGATTCAGCAGGAACATTCTTCTCTTGAACTCAACTTTAGGAAATTTTTAGCCTCATACTCCATAAATGCTAAACCATATATTTTCTGAATATCTTGAAAACATTTTGAAAAGAGGTTTCTACGCATTTTCAAAATATTCTCTAAAATTTCATACCTATACGAATAAAAATATTTTCAATAAATTGTTTAAAAACCCACATTTTTCTGTCTTTTATACCTACAATAATTAATAAACTGAAAAGCTCACTAACAAATTCATTGGATTTCAAAAAGATGTATAAAATTTTTATAATTGAAAAATGCTGAAAGGAAATTGAAACTTTGTCTTTTGAAATTAATCAAAACTGGTTAGGAAAGGCGGAAAGGTTGTTAAAGTACCTATAAATATTATTAATCTTGTTTTCAAACTTTTCAATCAATCCGGTTTCTTCGGTGCTATTGAAGTGTGGTCCAATACCTGGTAAATGAGGCTAAATGAAGAAAAATGTACTACCTTGAGCACTGAGACCAATGCCACTAAATATAAACAATGTCGAGCTAAAGCATGTGAGGGAACAAATGAATTGAGGTGTCATAGTGACCTATTATCTGAAATGGAAAATGCACGTAACAAAAATAGCCAAAAAATCCAACTCATACACATACCTTGTGAATAAGGCCTTTGAAGATCAGTCGTGTGACACCATTGTGAAACTGTATAAATCTTTTATACCTCCAAAACTAGAATACGCCCACTCAATTTGGAATCCGTACTTCATAAAGGATATTGAGATACTAGAGCGTGTGCACAGACGAGCAACAAAGATTCCATACCATCACTCCGTAATGAAGATGACCTTATTCGACTATCCACTTTGGAACTCACTTTTTTGAGGAAAAGGCTTCTGAGAGGAGATCTGATCGAGACCTAGACGATTATTCGAAATGCGGCTACTCCTGGTAACCTTGACATCTTCACTTTCAATGATAACCCATCTACAAGGTCATACTTTAAAATTGATGTGCAAGGAAAAAACCACCAGGCTTCCAAGAAGGAACTTCCTAGCAAATCGAATTGTCTACCCATGGAACAGCCTGTCAAATTCTACAGTCACCGCGCAGAGTTTGAATTCTTTCAAGAATAAAGTCGACACTGATTATGAGTGCATTATTCCAAGTGGATATTCATTATGGATAATAACTTATCAAAAACACGACGATAAACTTACAAGTAATCCAATAGTTTCATCAATGTAAACTGTTTACTATTGTACCATAATAATAACAAGAATAATTAAAAAAAAATAAGTTGCAACTATGTAGAATAAAACCAAATATGTTTCCTTATCTGCATAATAAGATAAATGAAAAATTCACCCATGTAAATACACGCCAGTTCGAATCCTAATTAGCTCTCCGTCGTTCTAGTTGCTTATCTCGACACAGCAATCTTTCCAAACTACTAACGAGATATCCAGGCCTCAGCCTTCGCTAAAAACCTTTTCGTCAAGCGCCAAAAATTAAATTAAAACCGCTTCTTCTTTCCTGGATAGGAGAGACGCGAATTTCGTCGGAAAACGTTATAATATGAAGCATTTTGTTAGAGTGGGAAAATTTCAATTTCCTTTTACCGTTTGTGTGGACCGATTAGAATCTATCCCTTCATTTTCAGTATTTCAGTTGTAAGAGTAGATTAAGATCTTTAAATTGGTTTATCTTTCAACAGGGAAATGTCAGAGTGTTGCCCATGAAGTTGGCAAATATTTAAGCTGAGATTAATTTGGGAGCAATTAAGGCCACCAGAGTATGTACATACATTTTGAGAGATATAAAATAAATTGACTTTCAAGTTTCTCAAAAGTCAGCCAAATTCACAGATACAATTTGATAACAGATACAATCATACTCACCTATTTACATACCTACTTTGGAAATTTCTTTCTAGCTGAATCGCAAATTTTATTACAAACGATAATGTTTTCTCAAACAGAAATTAATAAGTATATTTCTTTGTTTCAGATATGTAGTTACTTGGGCATCTCTAACGAATCAGACTATTTCGGCTTGAAATACGAAAACACCAAAGGCGAAGAATTATGGTTGAATCTAAGAAACCCCATTGACAGACAGGTTAATTGTCACGGACACACTGCGCCCCTCAGATTTGCTTTGAGAGTGAAATTTTGGGTGCCGCCTCATTTGCTTTTACAAGAAAATACAAGGTAAGAATTTCAATCCTTGTTTTGTAGTTGAACTGAAAAAAAAATGCTTCTATTGTAGGCATCAATTTTATCTTCATGCCAGATCGGATCTCATAGAAAAACGCCTCGTGACCAACGATTGGGATGGAGTTTCCAGAATAATTTCGCTTATTGCTCAAGCCGAGACTGAGGATTATGACTCTTTGCATCCACCGCACAATTTATACGTACAGGTATGTCCTATGATTTTTGAAAGTTTTTGATGATTACCATCCAAATTCGAAGAAACTTCTTCAACTCTCCGCGCATCCAGCAAACATTTCGTTCATGATTTTGTTGTAGTCAAAACTTTGACTATTATTACTGTATCTTTATACTTTTCAAAATATTATCAAACCAATTTTAGTTCTAGTAAACCTTAAAACAACATTATATCCTTTGAAAAAAAAGTACATGCCTTTTATAGAATCTTTTCTTATTTGATATGGAATAAAACCAGACTATTTGACACACAAGCTGATGCTTTTTATTAAATAGGTACATAATTTATTTCTGTGGACAAATGATGGATATTTTATGGTGAAATAAACACGTTTTCTAGGACTTCAAATTTGAATCTAATCAAGTACGTAGGTATGTGTCTTTTGTTGCAAGAAGCCATTACGAACTGATTTAATTGAATTTTAATCAGACAGATTCTAGGAGTTTTATTTATCACTTGTCTTTTGTAAACTTGTAGGCATATAACACAAGATGGTACCTACTTAATTTATGAATTTAGATTTTTATTATACAGTGTGATTTTTTAAGTGTGCAACATATGGGGATTTTTTTTCGTAATAGCACAACCCAAATACAAACAAGGCCAAAAGTTGGTGCATGTCTGATAATCATATTAGGTGCACTTAGAATGGTTGCAAGTCAAACAGCATACAGGGTAGCTCAAACAATATCAAACCTGGTACTGTAAAGTACCCTTATTTTAGAAAATTAAGCAAAATGTTATAGAGAAAAGTTGTTTGGAATTAAAAGGTATGCCTAAATACCAAAACATAGCCTCCTAAGATTTTTTTTAATTTTCTTTCGAAAAAAATCTATAAATTCTATATTTTTTTTATTTTTTATTTCCGCCCTTAATACTTTCAAAAATTAATTAAAATCAAATCAATTTTACATAACTTTGTTGCACCTAATATGATTATCAGACATGCACCAACTTTTGGCCTTGTTTGTATTTTGATTGTGCTATTACTAAAAAAAATCCCATATGTTGCACACTTAAGTAATGACACTGTATACCTACCTCTTTGGGCGCCAGATCCAAAAAAAGTCCAAACAATACAAAACGAAACTGTTTAGACTTTTAAACAAGGAAATCAGCAAAATAAAATCTTCAATTGAATTGGAGAAATTTCAAAGAAAGGAAATAAACTAATTTTGAAAAGAAAGAAAAACTGGAGAAAAAGATAAAAATGGGATATTTAAACAAATCTCTACAGGATGTCATAAGGGGAAAAAATTGAAGGAAACTGGTTCATTAATCAACATAGAAAAAGATAAAACTTTGAATTTAAGTAGTCTTTACTTCGTCTCAATAATTATGGAAATATCCACCAATAAAAGAATTGGATAAACCTTAAAGAAACAGACAAAATTAATTGTGAAAAGGAAAAAACTAACTGAAGAAAAAAGAGAGATATAATTTGTTTACATTTTATCTCAGGCGCCCCAGTCCGGAGAATAAATATTTCTACAATGTTGTCACATTGTTAACATTTTTCTCAATTTCTTGAAGAAGCATACACGAATTCCAGGATATTTGTGATAGTTAAGATTTTTATATTGATTAAGCATATATAGTCCGTTGCATGGTTTTTGAGCTACGACTACTGAATAGACAGAAAGAACAATGGGCTATTGCTGCGTTGTCATATCAATAATAATATTTATTATTACATGAAAATGAAGGAAATTTTATTGCAATTTTCATGTATTAATAAATATTATCGATATGACAACTGACAAGGCAGCAATAGCCCATTGTCCCCTCTGTCTATTCAGTAGCCGGAGGTCAAGAACCATGCAACGGACTATATTTTTCTAGTTATCTTCCAGATCCAATGTGATTAATGATATTTTATTTAATCATCATAATTTGATTAATTGGAAGTACAATATTAGGTAACTTACCAAGCATGGCATTTGCTTTATAGAAGTTATGCATGATTGTTACATACACTAATATTTAAAAAATATATAGTCCAATAAAATAAGGTTCTCACTTAAATATAGAAATAAAATGAGCAATTTTGTCAAGGTGAAGAGTGAAAGGGGGTAGACTAGACATCTATTTGTTAAGAAGTTGCAACATTGATTATGAGAGTTTTGACCTAGTATTTTATTCCAAAACAGCACACAAAGTTTTAAAGACAGCTTTTTTAGCGTCTGAACGTTTGAAAACCCAAAATAGACATTTATATGATGTCGTAAATTTACATCTTGAAGAAAACTGAGTTACACTATTTGGTATCCTAAAAGTAAACAATGGTTTATGTATTAAAATCAGATTCAAAGACGTCTTTAAGATCTCGTTGAAAAACTTTAGAATGTTTTGGAAAAATGTAATAAAGACGTTTTCAGGCAGATGTTTGAAAGACGTTGAGCTTTGTAACAAACGGATGTCTTAAAGATGTTTTTAAGATGCTTTGAACACATAAGCAGACTTCTAAAAAACTTCTTGAATGTCGTTTGTGGACATCTTAGGAACGTATTTGAGTATCAGTGTCAGAAAGCAACATTTAAAATTACTGGTGAATACCTTACAACATACCTTTTCCAACAAATGTAATAAGGATAACAGTCTTCTAAGTTATTTTATAAATACCTACAAACAAAATATATGTTTTAACAAATAAATCTTTTAAACGTCTTGATGGTTTTTCTCTCAGTCTCCAAAATCTTCGAGGACTTGGAGGCCTTTTTTCGTAGTTAGGTGGTGGCACGAAAGCAGGATTTGGTTCAGGGATTTCTACTAGAACTGGCTGGGCTTAACTTGTAATAATCAATGGCAACTGAATTTCGCTATTGCAATCTATTGCAAGAGTTAATCGCTTTTTTAGAACTTCCGTTTTTCGAATTTGAATTATATCTCGCTTCAGGGAATATCCATCATCCAAAAGTACTTGATAATAAAAAATACCATACTTCTGTGTAATATTTCCAAATTTTCAGGACATTTTATTATTTTTACAAAAACGTAGGTACTTGCACTCTATTACCCACCGACGGGGTGAAGGATATTGTTCTTCAATTTTCACATGCTGCATTGGTCAAATATAGCGTCAAGTTTGATTCGAAAGGGTCGATTTAAGTACATTTCAGCTGGTGAAATGCCATCAGCAAGAGGTGTTTCTCGATATTTTAGTAGAATTTCTCGAATTTTCCTTGTTATACTTGTAGGTTCATTAACCATAGCTTTTAGTCGATTTTCCAGTGTCTAAACATTGCGCTTAGCAAGGCCATTAGTAGCTGAATGGCCCGGTGCGATGAGTTTTTGAAAAATTCTATATTCTCTCCAATGAGTCCAGTAGGATTTGGAAAAACTGTAGCATTATCGGATACCATAACTTTTGGAAATCCATGTGTTGAAAAAATATCTTGTAAAAGTTCAATCGTTTTCGTCAATTTTGGTGCATCTCTGAGTATTTTGACTTCTGCCCATTGTGATTTTGCATCTATGACCACTAGAAAATTGAAACCTTGAAAGGACCAGCATAGTCAATATGACGTATACATAGTTTTGTTCAGGTAACTTCCAGTGGTGCAATTGAGCTTTGGCTGGAGAGGATCGAATTAGGGCACATGCATCACATGGTTTAATCAATGTTTCGATATCCCTATCGATTTTTTTTTTTTTGAAAAACAATACTTCCTTGCCAACTGCTTCATTTTTGTGATTCTACTGTGAGTTTTACATTGTCTATCAGTGTCGCTTATTGAAAATGAAATTTTCACTTACCCCGCTTATTTCTGCACCCGTATCTGGAGTAGCCACGTAAGGGAATACGTGATTGCTTTTCGTTGGTGCTCTAATTTTAACCTCAATTTGACGAAGATTATGCTTTTGGTTAACACTGGCAATTTTCAGTAAACCAATTTTTGATGATTCGTCTCCTGAGCAGAGAATAAATTACATGTTTTTTATACGACAATATTCCAAAAAATGTCCAATTTTTTTACATCGGCTGCATATGGAATCTATTGCAGGGCAATCTAGGACCATCTGGGACATTTTTTGATATTTCTTGAATTTACTTTTGATTTATTTATTTTGTGTACGTTAGAACAATTTGCTCGGAATTCTTCCATTTGTGCGACTTCTTCTAATTGACAAATTCTTTTGACATCATTGATATTTGCTGATTCCGGTAGTGTTCTGCATTTTTATCTGATTTTTGTATCATAAAGAGATTCGATCATATGATCTGTGATTGTCCACTCAAAACAATGTGAACAGGGATCACTCAAATGAAATAATTTCAATCTTTCTCTATAAAATAAAGAGAAAGATTCACCTTGTTCTTGTTTACGGTTCATGAACTGACTATATCTGATTTTGTTATTTCTTTTTTAAATAGCTCTCCAGTTCTTCTAGAACATGTATGGCTGTAATTTGATTGAAATTCTCGATTTTCAGCACAAATGAACGACATCTAGAATGTTCTGAGTAAACAACGAGGACAGCAAAGCTGTAACCTGACCAGTGTTATTATTGATTGATATTCGCTCCTTGATATAACAGATAATTCTAAAACTTAATTTTCCAATCTTTGAACTATGTTTTTAAAGTTTGAGAATCATCCAGTTTTTCTGGCAAAGGTACCTATATTGCTTGGAAAACACACGTATTCCACTTTAGTGATGTCTACACACTCTATTTCCAAGTTTCTTTGTTCCACCGAAATACTTTCTTCGTTACTGCCACCTTTTTGAAGTAGTAACAATTCTCTCATACTGTTTTGTAGTTGTGATAGCTGTTGTTTGAAATCTGTTTCCATATTTTTCTCCAAAATATACGTAAAGCTTGATTGGTTGTCTCAATGCATATTTCTGGAATATCTTCAGATATTTGGTTTGACTTCTTGGCCATGTTCTTACGAGTCATCATCGTTTAAATATCTAAAACAGCTTTTCCCTGGTTCTTATTCAGACTGCGCCATGTTATGTTTGAATTTTATATAGAACTCTATTGACATAACCTTTTAACAATTTTTCAATAATTAATATTCAGTGTCAAAACATCTTCACATGTCCGTATTCTACCTCGTAATCGAAACTTGAAAGGAACGAAGAATTTCTGAGTAGTCTGACAGACGTCATATAGCTGGTAATTTCGCATTCTGGTGGAAAATTCCTGTCAGTGATCATTGTGATCATTGTGATCAATTTGAAGTTTCTTCCATATAAATACATGTAATAGATACTGATTTACATGAAAAATTATGGTTAAAGCCTCTATGTCTAATTAGCTATAATTACGTTCACTAGCTGTTAATCATCTTGAAGCGAAAGTTATCGAGTTTTCTATGCCATCTTTAATATGTGATAAAACACCTGCAAGGCTTCTGTAGAATTTGCATCACAAGCTGATACGACCCGATAACTGCAGCATTTGTAAGAGTGTATTTGGATGAAATGGGGTCAGAACACGATCACGCGCTATTTCCTGCTTCAACTTTATAAATGCTGCCTCACAGGAACGATCCCAATACAACTTTTTATTGTTTTGAAGTAATTTTCGTTAAGGATAAGTCATTGTCGATGCATTGGGTACGAATCGAGAATTATATGTAAGCATACCAAAAAATTTACTAATTTGGAACTTCTGAACTTCGAACTTCATCTACATCATTGGGTCTAGGCATGCCAATTATGGCTTTTACTTGTGCTGGAGATTTTGATATTTGAATATATTGAATCACATGCCTAAGATATTCGACGCTGGTTCGGAAAATTGTACATTTCTTTTTATTCAAATGTAAATCGAAATTTTTGATTCGTTAAAAAAAAATAAAAGATTGTATTCAGAATCTGACCGATAATCCAGTTAAATTCAGATGGGGCTGTTTAAATACCTACCAAATGACAATCTATGCATCTTGTATGTACCACGGTGCGTAGTAATGGTTTGAATCAGGCTGGTTTCATCGTCTACTCGAAGGTGTGAATATGCCTTATAGCCGTAAACTTTGCCTATAGAGATCTAAACAAAAAATATTCAGAATTTCTTGAACTATTCATGATGTCTTCGATACGTCAAATTGGATAATTTGCCGAAACTAAGCATCTGTTAACTCCTGCTTTATAGTCAACACACAAACGTATCCCTTGATCTGGTTTAGGAATTACAACTAGTTGTGAACCCCAGGAACTTTGGGTACGGTGAGAGGAACGATAGGCGCACTACCTTGATAAACTATCTAGAAGAAAAACATCTATGTATATGCAATTAACTCGTTCTATAAGAAGAAACCGCAACGAAAGTCAACATAGCTCAGCCCTAATGGAACAACGAGAAATGAAATTGAATACATACTGACCACTGAAAAATATATTATTAAAGATGTAACAGTTCTGAACAGATTCACCACAGGCAGCGATCACAGAATGGTCAGAGCAAAAATACGTATCGATGACAACTTTGAAATGAAAAACTAATGGAAATAAGGGACAACTAGACATGACCAAACTTGCACAAAATAAAAGCATATACAAAGAGAGACTGAAGAAACAACTGACCCAGAACTTGAACAGCGATAATGAAAATATAGATAAAATATACGATACCTTAGCGAAAACCATGGTTCGCACTAAAAGATAAAAAGAAGGAAGATTGCATATCAGAAGAGACAAAGAAACTTATGGAAAGAAGGCGGAAACTGAACGAAGAAGGTTAAAAGGAAATCGATAGAATATACAAAAATCAATAAGACCATCAGGAAAATGATAAAAGAAAACAAAAGAAAGAACCAATAAATAGAAATAGAAAGAGTCATAGAGAATAACAGGAATATGAAATGCCTAAAACCGACACTAGGAAGATACGAAATAAATAAAATGAAAGACAAGAACGACGTAGAAACTAATATTAAGGAGGATATCATAAATATCACACAACTCTTTTATACAGAACTATATCAAAAAAAAAAAAAAAAACACCGGAAGAAATTGTAAAACAACTACTAATAGAACAAGCCAACGAATATCATAGGTATCCTACTATATATTGCATTTATCGACTTCGAAAAGGCTTTTGATAGTGATGAACACTGGGCAGTAAAGAACTCATTAATTAATAGCAGAATAAACTACAGATACACAGACATTAACCAAGATATATAGCGAAGCAACAACAACTGTTAAAGTTCATGAAGGACTAAAACGAATACCCATAGGAAGAGATGTCAGACAGGGAGATACAATATCACCTAAACTTTTCAACCAAGCCCTGGAAGATGTTTTCAAAAAACTATAGACTGGGAAGAAAAAGGATCAAAATATGCAGACAACACTTGAGCAATTTCTTTCTATGAAAATGCTAAAGCTGGTATATTAGAATAACAACCTTTTGTATAACAATGATTAGAATAAAAGTAACTAGGACACAAATAGAAAATTAACTTTTTCAAATTACACTCTCTCACACATTTTTCCCGCCCCTTATACCTATAGCAGCATATTTTGACAATGAAGGAATCCTATCATAGTCTATATTGTTCCAACATGATTCAATATTTCCTTAGTTTATCGAATATTTATCTCTAAGCTATCGTTCTCTTTACCTAACAGGCCTCTACAATAACAAGTGGCTGCCAAACCCCAAAACCAAACGATCTTCTCCAAAGAATCATCGCCGAACACAAAAAGCTCAAAGGCATGAAACGATGCACCGCCGAGTATTGGCTTCTGAAAGAGATTTCCGATTTCGAATCTTTCGGCGAAGAAGTTTTCAGCAAAACTCAGGGAAATATTCATCTTGCTGTCGGGCCTCATGGTAAGTAATTTTTTTCACACAATTATAAAGTTTTACCTTGAATGTTACTTAATATTTGAACTTTTGAAACAAAACGAGGACAAGTTTGCATACAATATGTCCCATTCATTTAGCAGCTATTTATTTTGAAAAGCCTATTTTTGTATGTAAATATTATTAGCTCTCCTTCAATTTTAAGTTATACTAAACAAACGATCGCCAATCAGTTTTTAGGTAGGTAAATATTTGTTGTATGATTATCCATGTTTAAAGAAACATTGACTCAATAATTTTAATTTGAACCGAATTTTAGTCAGTGATCGACACATTTATGTAAACGTTTGTTTGTCCACAAAATAAAAACAAATTAACACTCAAATATATTGGAAATGTTACGTTGAATGAATGAATGAATGAATGGTCAATATTTTTTGAGTTTTCTTAATTTTGTAAGATAATTATTAGGGAAAAAAGGTTAGGAAATCAAACGATGTATATTACAACTTGTATTCGTAACGATTTCGATAAAGTTTCGGTGATAATTCACACAAAAAGTACGGTGATAACTCGCGCAGTACCTAACGCGTCACACTGGTTCACAATTCGGCTGTTTCGAGCGCAAAAAACATCATGAGTTTCCTTGAACAACTACACGAACATAGCGATCGGCACACATTAATCACTCCACGAGTCTTGTAACTCACCGTAGCCCCACGTTGGGCGCCAATTTGTAAGATAATTATTAGGGAAGTTGAGTAGACGGAAAGATTTAAACGAGAACCGATAGAGAAAACTGGTTACTGAATTTTGGTCTTGTATTAATGAAATGAAATTTGCGTTAACATCTCGTAGTTGATAGGCCGTGTATCAGGTTGACATCATACAGGGGACCAGCCGATTAATGGCGTGGGGATTAGGGAATTTTGTTACAATTTATGTTTTACTTATGAATGATACATCAGTATAGAGGAGAACATTTTGTGATTCTCACAAAGATATTCAATTAACAAAGTATATTTTCTTATTTCAGGAATTACAATTTACGATAAATCCGTTCCCGAAAAGCAACTAATTTCCTTCACGAACATCGTGAGCGCCTCCTCACATCGAAGGACTTTCAAGTTGGAATATTTCTCATGCGAAAACAAGGAAACCGTTTTAGAAGTCAAGTTGGATTCTAGTCATAACGCTAGCAGTTTGTACAGGGCGATTACTGAAAAACATGCATTTTATAGGTAAGAATTTTATGCTTATTTGATAGATAAAATAAACTTACTTTACTTTGTGGTGAGTCAGTCGATTCAAAAAGTCCTTAGAACATTGAGTTATTAAATACTTCAAAATAAAAACTCAAAGAAATTGGGAAATCAAATCAAAAATATCTGGAAGCTAAAGTTAAAACAATAGATACCTATAAAAATTGTAAGAAATTATAATTTATGGGTGCGGGAAGCTGGAAATTATACCAAAAATTCTAATAATTTCGGGAAGAATTTGGGGAAATAGGAAGAGATCAGTAGTGAAATATAAGACAGTAAAAAAGTTGAAGCCCAGTTTTTAAGCTTAAAGTTTTCAAACTGTTAAGCCTCTAGCCCAGTTTGATTCCCAACTTAGCTTAGCGTGTAAAAATTGAGTCAAGTTCCTAAAAGTGCAAAAAACAAAGAAATTTGTTGCTACTATAGAATATCCGTGTATTTATTACAAAACTTCTTAACTTAAATGTCAAAGGCAAAACGTGTTTCCAATCAAAATACACAGTGGTAAATTTTTCATATTATAAGTGCACAATTTCCTTTGAATAAGTGGCCTCGTGCACGAAAATTGCTTAAGCCAAACAAGGGTCTTTATGTGGCCGACATTTGATTTGAAATCGATAAGGATGCATAAGTTTGTGAAGTAATTTGTCTTCAGGGAGCCAATTTGAAAGTTTTAATTGAAAGAGGTCTATAAGCCATGCTGGATAAAACTTTTTTTAGCTATGAGGTCAATTGAAGTATCGTCTTCTATCTACGACTAATAATAGATCTTTATAATGCAGTTTATAGGGGCACCATTAGCTATTTATGTACCAAGGGGATTATGTGGATTATAATGCCCGAAAGCGAAACTAGCCCGAGGGCCTATGGCCCGAGGGATATATTTCGCCTGAAGGGCATTATAATCTTAAAATCCCCGTGGTGCATACAATGCTTTATTTTCTACTCAACACAATGTTTTTTCATCAATTTATTATTAACAAAAGTTAAACTTGTGTGACAGAATATTGTTTTGTATTTTGACATGTACCTGTACCTGTGACCTGTACCTGTACCTGCGACCTGTACATAGAAACGAAATAAATTAATATATCTATAAACATCTCATAAGGCAAGGCAACGGTGGTGGTCCTGTGGGTTAACGCGGTGGCTGCCTAGGGTAAAGTGCAAATTAATAGAACAACAACAACAACAGAAACACCTTAGGGTATTATAAGCGGGCGTTATGGATCAGGTTGTTATAGGTGTGTTAACGTATTTCGTTTCCTAGGTATTATGGATCTATAATAGTAAAGTAGAAAATAAAATCTTTTTTATTATTTACGGAAGTATTTTAGTTGACCTTGACCGATCAATTTTCATTTTTTTTTTTTAAATTCTATTTCTAGTACTATTGATTTTTATTGTTCTTTTTTTCTTGGTGTTTTTCCGGGTTTAGCAAGCTCTAACTTCATGGATTATATGATAAAGCTTTGATTTTGTTTATGGTGGTAACCTTCAGTGTTCATATATGTCTCTACTCCGTATATAGCAGGACCGACCAAACATAACATTTAAGCATTCTGTATCTGAGCTTAAATCCCAAGCTTCTGTCTATGAGAAACTTTCAAAGTCTTAGGAAGGTTGATCTTGTCTGTTCTGTATATCCTGCATCTTATCTCTTTCTCCAAATCCCATCTTTCATTCAGCATGAATCCCAAATATTTAAAGTCTGTAATCAGTGTAATCTGTTCAATATTGTTTCCAGCTATTCAAGATCTGGTATCTACTCACAATCATCAACTTCGTTCTGCCAGGGTTATTTTTCAAGCCCAGTGCTTTGTCTGCTCCATTAATCTGATTCAGTAACGTCTGAAGATCTTCTGCATTGTTTCCTAATATTGCAGTGTCCTCTGGATATCTGATATTGTTGATGGGGATACTGTTCACTTTAATGCCTATGGGATTGTCCAAAAGTGGTTCAATCTGCATATAGATTGAACAGCATTGGAGACAAGATACATCCTTGTCTGACACCTTTTTCTTTTATTTCAAATTGGTCTGTTGTTGTGGAGTTGTTTAGCCGAACTTCCGCTTTTTGATTCCAGTATTCCAGTAAAGACTACTAATAAGTCTTACGTCCTTATCATCCAGTCCTAATTCCCCAAGAGATGATATCAAGAGATTATGTCTAACATTGTCAAATGATGCCTTCTCGTAGTTGATAAATCTTGACAATTTTGCAATAAATTCTGCAGACTAAATATAGCTTCTCTAGTTTAAAACCGCTCTAAACCCAACCTGACTAGTTCCGCTAACCTCTTCGCACTTTTTGTAAAGTCTTGTGTGTAGAATTAGAAGAAAGACCTTCAGAAAATGGCGCATGAGACTGATGAGACGATCACGCTTGCATGCTTTTGGGTTATTAGGTTTTGATAGTTTGATGAAAGTAGAGCGGACCCAGTCCTCGTAAAAATATCTAGTGTCATATGTTGTTAAAGAGCTGCACTTTTGTTTCCATGTTTTTTTCATTGATAAGTGATTGGTGGACTTTCTGATCTGTTGTCATCAAAAATGTTGATTGTATATCTCTTCCATCTTCCAATAGTTCTTCGGGGTTTGTGATTATCTCGTTGTGCTCATCTCTAATGAAATTTATTGGCTTTTTGTTGTGTAGTCCAGCTATTTCTTCTACTTTTTCATACAAATTGAAGCTGTCTCTAAGACGGTTTAAATTTTCGGCCTCTGTGCATCTTTCAGTTCTGGTTTTGGTATTCTGATTTCATTGCGGATTTTTCTCTGTTTGTATTTGTATCCATCTTAATCGTTCAGAGTTTTACACTGCCTCCTCTCTTTTATTAATTTCAGAATTTCCTTGGTCATCCATTTGTTCTTTGTTCTTGTTTTATTCTTTTAGAGGATGTTCTCAGTAACTCTCATTAAAAATTTCGATAGTTGTCCTGTTTTTGTGCTATCAGCCCTCAAATTTGAAACTTTCTAGGAAATCTGCTGCAAATGCAATTTAAGTAATCAAAATCTCGATAACCACAGCTTGTGGAAAAAAACTTTTCAGATAAAAGTTGAATAGGTACTTTGATGAGTTCTACAAGAAATATTTGTATTTGCATCAGATTTCCTTGGAAGTTGCAACTTTGAAGGCTGATAAGGCTAAACAGGACGACTATCGAAATTTACAATAAAACCTCTTTGTAGACAATTTAATCCTCTATTGAATAAGACATGATTCATTGAAATCAGTACAGCCACTCCAGAGCTATAGCCAAGTTAATGAGGCCATGTCAGGCTGGACATTTTCCCCATGGATTTTGGAATTTTCTTCTGGATTTTTTTCCAAGCTTAGGAGGCCTCAAACAGGAAAATGCTAAGAGACATTTTCGCTTTATTTTGACCCCCTCTACCCAAAAAAAAATATTTTTTTTGAACTTTTGAAATTTGATTTTCCTTTTAGTTAATTTGCCAGAATTTTTCCTATAATGAGCTCCTGACTCTTCTCTTTCTCTCCAGAAAATTTCATAATTTTCCCTTGGATAGTTTTCCAGAAAAAAATCAATTTACAAGTAGGTGTATTTAAATAAAAAAAAAGCAAAAGTCCTGGAAAATCGGAAATTTAAGGAAAAAAAGTGGGTTTTGGGTCTTTGTGGGATCCCCTCTACAAAATTGCTAACTTGAAATTTCGAAATTTTGACTTTGGTTTTTGGCCCTATACCTTCAAGACAGAGAAATCTGAAAATGATGAACATCGAAATTTCAACCGGCCATAGATCGGTAACCGTAAGTCTTAGAGAAAAACTGTTCCCAGGAAAATTTTAGAGCTCGACGAGATCTACAAAAAAGCTCCGTGCGTTACCCCTCTACAACTTACGGTTTCCTGAGTAATCGACTTTACAGTTTTAAAATCGATAGCCCAGGTTTTTTTTTTTGCCAAAAAGTCAAAGTGGAAAAATTTCAATTAATTCCAGTGAAAACCAGTAGGTAACAAAAAAAATTCTTGAAAATTTACATTTGAAAACCAAATAAAATGAAAATGCACCTTACAAGGTGAAAAGAGGAAGATTAGGTGATGATTTAGCTAAAATTTCAATTTAATCCAGTGAGTACCAGTAAGAAGAGAAATTCTTGAAAATTTACATTTGGAAACTAAATAAATTGAAAATGCACCTTTTCACAGTTTGAGGTTTTTCTGGAAAACTGCTGATGGGGAAATATTGAAACTTACAGGGTGAAAAGAGAAAGATTAAGTGATGATTTAGCTAAAATTTCAATTTAACCCAGTGAAAACCAGTAACAAGAAAAATATTTGAAAATTAACATTTGAAAACTAAGTAAAATGAAAATGCACCTTGTCACAGCTTAAGGTTTTTTTGGAAAACTGCTGATGGGAAAATGTTGAAACTCACAAGGTGAAAAGAGGAAGATTAGGTGATGATTTAGCTAAAATTTCAATTTAATCAAATGAAAACCAGTAACAAAAAAAATTCTTGAAAATTAACATTTGAAAACTGAATAAAATGAAAATGCACAGTTTAAGGTTTTCATGAAAACTAGTCAAGGGAAAATTTTGAAACTTTTTGCATGTAAAAAGGAGAGATGGGAGTTCATTTTCCTAAAAAGTCAAGTTTTTCCATTGAAAAATAACAACATGAAGAATCTTGGAAATCAACTTACAAAAACTGAATTATTTGAAAAAACAGTCTCTCACATTTCAAAGTTTTCTATAAAACTAATTAAGGGACAATTTCGAAACTTTCTGCATGTAAAAAGGAGAGATTAGACCTCATTTTCCCAAAATTTCAAGTTTTTTCAGTAGAATATAACAACATGAAGAATCTCTAAAATCAATTTACAAAAACTGAATTAATTCCGAATCTTTCTTTGACTACGTGATACAGGAGGTCCTAAGGAATGTCGGAACCCATTTTGCTTCCCTCAATTTTCCATTTTTCTAGGAGTTTCCGGCCCTTTTCTATTCCCCACCCTAAAAAATGGAAAATCGAAATTTGTGCTGTATAGAGGAGGCCGAAATAAGCCGGAAAGCTTTTTGGCATTTTCCCGTAGGACATCTGCTAAGTCCAGAAAAAATTAAACAATAGGGAGCTACTGCTTTTCTAGCCAGTTGATGACATGGTCTCATTAAATTGGCCATAACTCTGGAATGCCTGGGGCCTGCCTAAGTCTTGGAAAATATTGCATATAGTCTAGGAAAATTGTCGATTTTGCGCTATATAGGGGTTGAAAGTGCGCCATTGGCGATTACTTGGTAACCTATTGATTTTACAAAAAAATGTTTCAAATAAAAGATGTGCAACATTATTTGATCTACAATGTTTATCTAAAGACTTTTTTGATTAAGGGCCGTCTGTGGTCATAAGGGCCACTTGAAATTTAATAATGAAAATGGAAAATTTTAACCAACGTGAAAAAATTTTCTACAACTCGTACAACATTTTTGCTTTATGAAGTTTTTACTCACCCCCTGCCGTTTTTCAATAGGGGTAGTTTAAAGTTTTTTTATTTTTTCACAAAAAAATTTCATTAAAAAAGTTTTATAAGATTACATTTCCTACAATTTTTCCCAATCAACTTTTTTTGTAACTCACCCCCATTCAGCGGGAGGACACTTCCCTCGGGGAAATTTTAGTTCTTAGGGGTATATATTAATTTTTTTTCTCTTTTCTCGCCTTTAGTGCATATAAAAAGTTGCAATTAACATTGTATTGAAAGGTTTTTTTTTTTCATCACCTTTTTGTTTTTAGGGGTAGTTCGCCTATTTTCAACTTTACAAAAAACATTTATTAAGAAAACTTGTTCATTTTATTATTTTGAGCAACTTTTCTCTATAACTTTTTTTTGTAAAGTTGAAAATAGGCGAACTACCCCTAAAAACAAAAAGGTGGTGGAAAAAAAAATCCTTTTAATACAATGTTAATTGCATCTTTTTATACGCACTAAAGGCGAGAAAAGAGAAAAAAAATTAATATATACTCCTAAAAACTAAAATTTCCCTAAGGGAAGTGTCCTCCCGCTGAATGGGGGTGAGTTACAAAAAAAGTTGATTGGGAAAAATTGTAGGAAATGTAATCTTATAAAACTTTTTTAATGAAATTTTTTTGTGAAAAAATAAAAAAACTTTAAACTACCCCTATTGAAAAACGGCAGGGGGTGAGTAAAAACTTCATAAAGCAAAAATGTTGTATGTGTTGTAGAAAAATATTTCACGTTGGTTAAAATTTTTCATTTTCATTATAAAATTTCAAACGGCCCTTATGACCACAGACGGCCCTCAATCAAAAAAGTCTTTAGATAAACATTGTAGTTCAAATAATGTTGCATATCTTTTATTTGAAATTTTTTTTCGTAAAATCAATAGGTACCAAGTAATCGCCAATGGCGCACTTTCAACCCCTATAGCATAAAACGCCAGAGGGGTGAATGTTTGATTTTTTCGGTTTTATGATCACCCACCCGCCCCCCTGAAAAGTTCATTTGGGTAGGAATTTTTTTTTTGCAATACATGTATTTTTCGACTATTTTCCTAGACTAATACGATATTTGATTTGATTTCGAATGCTTCCCAGTTAATTTATATTGCTGTCTGGTTTTATCTGTTGTGGTAGCGTAAACTCGGATTGTGTTGTTGATATTAATGAGTTGGCCGAATAATTGGACTATGGGGTAAACCACAAGGGAAATCTGGTGTACAAATTCGGGGAAAATGAAAGGAAATCTAAGGCAATCAGGGGAAATTATGAGAAAATCAAGGGAAATCTCGAAGAACTCAAAGGAAATCTTAAGGGTATCATGAGAAATCTTTAGGAAATCAGTCAATCTCTAGATCTTATGCATGCGCAGTTTTCAAAAATCTTTATAATTTGAGGCTCACAATATCATGGCAACTCTTGGGTAATATACTGGTAATTAGAAGAAATCAGGGGAAACCATGCTAAATCATTCCATGATTTCCCTTAAAACCGGAATTTAGTGTACAAAAACTGACCGAGAGATTTGGTGTACAAATTAGGAGAAATCAAGAAGAAATCTGAGGAAATCTAAGGCAATCAGGGGAAATTAAAGAAATCAAGGAAAATCTTAAGGATTTTATAGAAAATCTTAAGGAAATCAGTCAATCTCTAGATGTAACGTATGCCTAGATTTGTTGGACAAAGTTTAGTAGTTTTTAAAAATATATAAACTCTTATCATGCAAACTTGATATCAAGGCAAAAAAGTCCATCATTCCTCTACAGCCTCAATTTATTGTCTTAAAAATATTGATTATTGCAAGTTGAGCAAATCTATTAAATTCATATTGAGATGTATTAGATAAGAGGCATATTCTCTAGATAATTTAAATTTTCAACCTCATGAATAATAGCTAACAATAAACGCTCATTAAATAACTATTTTAAGTTCACATACTGCTTGGTAAGAATACCTATTTTTATGCATTTTTAAGTCAGGTCATTAGATTATTTTGTTTGATAAGCCAAGTACTAAATTGCCACTTTGTAATCTATTTTTACATAAACGTTAGGAAATTTATTTTAATCCTACATGGTAAGGTAATTTATTCTCAACCTTAATCATGCAGTTTATATTTAAATATCATGCATCTTTCGTATGCTAAAACTATTCATAGAAAAGCAGGAAAGTGTCGTCAAAAGCAAACAAATAGGTTTTTAAGTGTTGAAACTAGGCCAAAAAAAAATTACCTAAATAAATTAATTATGTTGTAATATACTTCAAAGAATTTTTTACTATCGAAATCCTTTTTTCTGGCAAAATTTCAATTTACAGCACAAAAGCTGCTCCAGCTTCCATTATGGTATTGAAGCCCGCGTTTATAAAGCCACATAGTTTATTTTGAATTGAAAATTGTGCATTTATTGTAAAGAGTTTTTTTTTCCAGTTGTGAAACCGTTCGCAGTGCCGTAACAGCTCAATTCATTCGCGATCTAAAAGGAACCATAGTTTCGATTTTCAACGAAGATTCCACTTTGGGCAAAAAGTACGTGTTCGATATTAGGCGAACTTGTAGAGAAGTGTACGATAATGCCAGAAGGGCCATTTACCAGGAAAGCCAAGCGCGACTGGCTTTGGAAACTGAAAACCCTAGCGGATCGGGATGCGATGGAGAACATTGCAAAGTAAGTTGAGAACTGGATAATGAAGGCCTATAATTAAAGTTGAATATCAAACGTTTGTAGAATTAGTGCAAAGAGATGAATATTGGTGTTTCTTCTAGGAAAATGAAAAGAAATTTTCAAATATTATTAATTTTATCATTTTATTTATTATAGAAAAGGTGTGCCTAAGAAGTTTCACTTCAAAAAATCGAGTTTTCATAAGGGTACCCCGTTTGAATTCTGATTTCAAAATCTTTAAACCTCGATTGCTCGGTAACCGTTGAGCAAATTGCATTGAAATTTTCAGCATTTGTAACTCTTATAAGCTCTAAATGGCCTGTAATTTACAATATTCTCAGATATATCGTTTTTGAGCAAATTGAGTTTGAAGTTTTTGACAAAACTTAGACTAAAAGTCAACTTTGGGGCTCAATTGCTCAAAAACTATTTAAGCTAACTATCTCAATTTTGCACATAATTATAGAGAATTTAATGCTTTTTCCAATGGTATATAATTTATTTCAATTTGTTGGAAATATAACAAAGATATGGGCAATTGTCAAGATTTTGAAAATTTTCTAGAGCCAAAAATAGGATTTCCTTTTTAATTTTTTTTCTGTTAAAAATGGCTATTTGGAAATGATGTTGTTTTCCACTAATTTTGGCCCGCTCTATCGATTGATAAAGTCAAAATTGAGCAAAACTGGAAAATGAAAAAATCGAGTTTTTCATAAAGGTACCCTCTTTGAATTCTGATTTTAAAATATTCATACCGCAATTGCTCAGTGAACGTTGAGCAAATTGCATTGAAATTTTTAGCATTTGTAGCTCTTATTAACCTCTAAATGGCCTGTAATTTACAATATTTTTAGATTCATAGAGTTTTTGAGCAAATTGACTTTGAAGTTTTTAAAAAAAATTTGGACTAGAAGTCAAATTTGAGCTTCAATTGCTCAAAAACTATCTGGACTATGAAACTCAATTTTGAACGGAATTATAGAGAATTTGACGCTCTTTCTAATAATATATAATTTATTCGAATTTGCTCGAAATTTACCAAAGATATGGGCAACTGCTCATGACCATGTAAAGATTTATAGAGAATTTAAATGCTCTTTCCAATGATATATAATTTATTTCAATTTGCTCGAAACTTAACAGAGATAAATATATGCAATTTAGGCCGAATTCCATCTAAATTATGAGAAATGTTGAAGAAATTATGCGAAATTATATTGTAATTATATTGGAATTATGTGAAATTTGATAGAAATTATGTGAAAATATATTGTAATTTCTTTTGAAATTTCCAGTTCTGACATGGAATTCCATTTAATTTCAATAAAATGTCTGAGAAATGACGACAAATTTAAAAAAAAAAAAAAAATTAAGCAAAATAACAAAGAAATTATGCGAAATTCCAAAGAAACTATGCGGAATTCCCTAAAATGTACGCGGAATTCGATTGAAATTACATAGAATTTCAAATAGGTATGCTAAATTCTATCAAAATTATGCGGAATTCGTGAAATTGAAGGAGTAATGACGTGAATTCCAAAAAAAAAAAATTAATTTTAGAAAAATTACATGGAATTATATAGGAATTTTGCAAAATTCTAAGAAATTATGCGAAAATTTATGGAAGTTATGCAAAATTTCAGTAAAATTAAATGAAATTTCGTAAAAGATATGCAAAATTTTATTGAAATTATGCTGAATTCCATAGAAAAAAAAAAGATTTCTATAGAAACTATACAAAATTCTATAAAAATTATGGGAAAATTCCGTAAAATTAAATGTAATTCTGGGAAAATGGCGTATAAAATTTAAAAAAAAATTGTTAAGTTTCAATTAAATTACATAAAAACCCATAGAAATTATGTGGAATTCCATTGAATTCTAGTGAAATTAAATGGAAAACGACAGAATTCCGAAAAAAAAAACGTTGAGTTTCAAAAAAATCAAAATCTCATAAAAATTATGTGGATTTAAGTTGTATGAAACTATGCAAAAGTCAAAAGAATTTCTGCGGAATTCTATAGAAAATATGCAATATTCTATAAAAGCTATGCAACTTCTACAGAAATTTGGATATTATGCGGAATTGTGTGCAATTAAATGAAATTCCAGTAAAATTTAATAAAATTCCACAGATACGACGTAGAACTCCAAACAAAAATATGTGGAATTCCGGTAAAATTAGGAAATTCCGTTAACTTTCCTGGAGTTCCAAGTAATTTCTCCAAAATTTTAAATTATTCTCGTGAAATTCCAAAAAAAAAAAATAATAATATTTAAAGTTCCTGTGAATTTCCGAGGAATTCCTGTGAAATTTCTTGCAATTACAGAAAATTTCTTTGAAATTACATGGATTTTTAGTAGAATTCCAGCGAATTCTTATGGAATTACGAGGAATTCTGGTGTACAATTTTTTTTTTTAAATTTACTAAAAAAAATAATTTTTCCAGTACTTTTCAGAGATCTTGACACCGTCGTTACGGTTGCCCTGAATTTTACCTTATACTTCAAAATTCAGGCAAATTTCTATTAATAAATTAATAATTATTATTGAAATTTGAAATAACTAATAAGTACCTAATAAGCTACTAACAACTTACTCAAATATCAAAAATCTTGTGAAATTATTTGGGATTTTAGTGGAATTACGTGGAATTCCGATGAAATATCATTATTTTCCTGAAATTCTAGAAAATTCCTGTGAAATTTTAAATAATTCTTGTGAAATTATTTGAAAGTTCAGTGAAATTTCGGTAAAATTATGTGAAATTTCGAAAAAATTCCAATGAAATTCCATCTAATTCTTCCGGAATTCCAAGTTATTCTCGTAAAATTCCAAAAAACTCCCGTAAAAATTACATTAAATTTTCATGCAACTTTAAAAAATTCTTATGAAATTATTCAGAATTATAATGGCATTACGTGGGATTCCGGTAAAATTATGTGATCCTACGATGAAATTTTCCGAGTATTCGACTCAATGCCTCCGGAATTTTAAGTTATTCTCGTGGAATTGCAGAAAATTCCCATGGAATTCCAAAATATTTACGTAAAATTACGTGGAATTTTTGCTAAATTTCAAAAAAAAAAATCCTGTAGAATTACATGGAATCCTTGTAAAATTCCTTAAAGTTACTGGTAATATCAGTGGAATTTTGAAGAATTTCTATGGTATCACTTTCACTTGGAATTTTCGTAAAATTGGAAGAAAAAGCCGCGAAAATTTCTGTAAATTACATGAAATTATTGTGAAATTACTTAAATTTTTTATTGAATTCCCAAGAATTCTTGTGAAATTACATGCAATTCCCGTGGAATAACTCAAAATTTAAGTAAAATTCTGAAATAATATGAAAATCTCGTGAAATTCCAAAAAGTTCTTGTGAAATTACTTGATACTTTAGCAATATTCCTGTGGAGTAAATTGGAATTTGAGTGGAATTTAAAAAAAAAAATGTTAAATTCCGGAAAAATTCTTTAAAATTGCTTGGAATTCCCATGGAATTGAAAAAAAAATAAAACCTTCTTACGGAATAACTAAAAATTCCATAAAATTTCCATGAAATAATGTAATTGAAATTTTATTGAAATTCCGAAAAAATCCTGTAAAATTACTCGAAATTCCAAAAAATTCTTCTGAAATTTCTTAGGTAATTTTACTGAAATAAAATTACTTGAATATCTCTTGAAATTACATATTTGCAATTCCAGCAAAATTTGAAGAAATTCCTATGAAATCAATCAAAATTCTCGTGAAATTCACTTAAAAAATCGTATAAATAATTATGAAATTCCAAAAAAAAATCGTGAAATTATTTTTTAAATTTTAGCAAAATTTCAAAGAATTTTTATGAAATACATAACTCAGAATTTCAGTGGAATTCCAAAAAAGTTCTAAAATACTCATGAACTACCTATATCAAAAAGTAATTTGTGAAATTACATGAAATTTCAAAAAATTCCTATGAAAATAAAGAAAATTTCTTTGAAACTAATTGTTTAGTGGAATTCCGAAAAATTTTCAGGGAATTCTGGTCTGCAATTTATGAACACATCTGGAACATTCTATAATAAGAATTTCAGTGGAATTCTGAAAAATTCTTGTAAAATTGCACGAAATTCTTATGAAACATCATAAAATTCCTATTAACATTCTTGAAACATTCCTTAAACATTCCCGGAACTTTCTGTAAACATTTCCCGAATATTCTTCGACAATTTTCCAAAAAAAAAAACATGTTGAAACATTCCTGAAACATTCTTGGAACATTTTATAAACATTTCTAAAATATACATTGCAAATTTATCAAAGAAAAAAAAAACATTGAACATTTCTGGAACATTTTTGGAACATTTTATAAACGTTCCTAGAATAGGCAAATTATTTCAAAACTATATTGAAATATTTTTGTCTTGATGGGACATTCTAGGAACATTCCATATACATTCCTGGAAGGGTACCCCCTCTTTGAATTCTAATTTCAAAATATTCAAACCTTGATTGCTCGGTAACCTTTGAGCAAATTGCATTGAAATTTTCTTTTTTGTAGTTCTTATTAGGCTTTAAATGGCCTGTAATTTTCAATATTTCCAGATTTATAGCTTTTGAAAAAATTCAGTTTGAAGTTTTTGACAAAATTTGGACTAAAAGTCAACTTTAAGGGTCAATTGCTCGAAAACTATTTAATCTATCAAACTCAATTTTGCTCGAATTTATAGAGAATTTAATGCGCTCGGTAACCGTTGAGCAAATTGCATTGAAATTTTCCGTATTTGAAGCTCTTATTAGGCTCTAAATGGCCTGTAATTTACAATATTTTCAGATTTATGGTTTTTGAGCAAATTGAATTTGAAGTTTTTGACAAAATTTGGACTAAAAGTCAGATTTGAGGCTCAATTGCTTGAAAACTATTTGAGCTATCAAACTCAATTTTGCACAGATTTATAGAGAATTTATTGCTCTTTTCAATGATATATATTTTAATTCAATTTGCTAAAAATTTAACAAAGATATAGGCAATTGCTCATGACCATGTCAAGATTTTGAACATTTTCCAAAGCCAAAAATAAGATTTCCTTTTTAATTTTGTTTCTGCTAAAAATGGCAATCTAAAAATGATGTCAGGGTTGTTTTCACTAATTTTGATCCGCTCTATCGATTGGTGAAGTCAAAATTGAGCAAAGCTGAAAATTAAAAAAATCGAGTTTTTAATAAGGATACCTCCCTTTGAATTCTGATTTCAAAATCTTTAAATCTCAATTGCTCGGTTACCGTTGAGCAAATTGCATTGAAATTTTCAGTATTTGAAGCTTTTATTAAGCTCTAAATTACCTGTAATTTACAATATTTTCAGATTTATAGTTTTTGAGCACATTGAGTTTGATGTTTTTGACAAAATTTGGACTAAAGGCCAACTTTGAGGCTCAATTGCTTGGAAACTATTTGAGCTGTCAAACTCAATTTTGCACAGATTTATAGAGAATTTATTGCACGATTTTTGAGGCTTTTGCACTGTTTCTACAAATCAGAATCAACCTCAATTATTGAGGCTCAATAATCCTAACTGTGTTGCATTTTCCATTTTCTCAACTAACAATTTCCTCTTTCATTTTCAGGACTCCGAAAAACTTTCCAGAATGATGGAAGCGATGACCTGCAAAATTTGTATGGACAACCGACTGGATTCGGTATTTATGCCCTGCGCACACGTCGTGGCTTGTTCCGAGTGCGCAGTAAGAATCGACAGATGCCCTTTGTGTCGCAGCGAAATCACGCAAGCGCAGAAACTGTACATGCCTTCTTGGTAGAGGTGATTTCAAGAAAAATTTTGGGATTTTTTTTTGTGTTAACAGTATTTTTTTTTCCAAAATTTTTCATTTATGTTTGATCTCATTCATACCTTCTGCTATAGTATTAGTTGTGATCACTGAAAACATGAAACCAAAAATATTTTCCTATCATTGACAATCTTTCAAAAAAAAAAAAAAAAATGACTGGAAATATTTTGACTAAGTAGATAAATTCCTCTCTAACATTATTGTGATCCTTATTATATTTTTGATTTTTATTCTCACATTGAGACTGGATTTGTTTTTACTATGTAAAAATTCATTTTTCACTTAAAACTGTACTGATACTGGGCTCCTTCGTTTTTTTTCCTCCTTTATCATCCCAGTTTTTTAGGGATGATAGATTTTTAATTTCAACTTGGAAGGGGCCAAAAAAAACTATTTTGACAATATAGATACTTAAATGATAAAAAATAAATTTTAGTCATTATATCAATGCAAGATAAATAAATATGTAGGTTTATATATGTTCAACAATAAGTGTCTCGTATATTATATAATATAGATACATATTATAAGTACCTAAGTAGAATTTAAAAAAAAAAAAAACACTGTTCGAAGTATGTAGACTTATTTTGTAATATTATATGAGTGTATTTCAAATAGTAAATACATCCCTGATCTGTGTTAGTAGGATAATACTTTATTTTGTGATACCCCAATGCATTCATAGTTTTTATTTTAATAATTATTAATTGTTGTGAGAAAGCTAATATTGTTTTTTTTTTCTACTTTTCTTATTAGAATTATTGTTTCATTTCGCTTTTATATTAACTATAATGTGTACTAATTATTATTATAGATGTTATATTTCATAAACAAGCATGAATAAGTGTTGCAAAAAAAAAATATGTGTCATAATATTGGCAATTATTATAAATTATTAATTTTCGTTTTTTTTTTTGACAGTTGGTATAAGCACTTTTTGCCAATTAAAAAAACATGTTTATTGAAATTATTTGTGTTTTATTTACCAATTCAAACCACATACAAAATTATCTGGGTCTTAAGAACTGAGCAATTTCGATCTAAAATCGCACAGAGACAGTGTTGCCAACAAATTTGTTTCAGTTATGGTACAGTGTAGATAAAAATTATACATTGAACTTAAAAAACCCGAGAAATTAAAATTGATCATTAAAAAAATTAGTCCATCAACTTTCTTCAAGTTGCCCAGGTAGAGCGGTCATGGCAGAAGAAAATAGAATATTTTTTTAGTAATTTACTTAACAGAGAAATATAAATGTGTTACACAATAAATTTTTATTTACTACACGCTTTCTTGTACAGGGTGATTTTTTATAATTGCAATATTCCTGTAATTCGGTTATTATTCAGGAGTAGAGAGTTGAAACAAAAAGCGGTCGATTTGGTAAATTATAGAGACTTTAGGCTTTGCAATACTTTTTTTATAGTCCTCTATATACACAGGGTTTGTTAACTTTTCAAAAGGAACACCCTGTATATTTCTAGATTTTTAAATGCTGCAGAAAATAAGCTTTTCAAACATATATAATATGGATCTATTTTCTTCAGTTTCAAAAATATTCACCTTTGAATTTCAATATGAAATTATAAAATTTGATGATGTCATAACAATATCCTAGTATTCTCATATAGTGTATGATATTTATGGCCGTTTGCACCGACCATTTTAAGGAAGCCTTAGCGACAGGTATCTCTTAAAATGACATTTTTACATGGAGAAGTGTCACTTTAAGGAATACTTTTCGCTAAGGCTTCCTTTAAATGATCGGTACAAACGGCCATTAGTCGTATAGATACCCTATCATACGACTCATACGACTAGTAGTTCATTTGCCAAAAAAAGACGTCTACAAGACAATCAAAAGATGTCGTAAATTCACATCTTAAAGACAAGACAACTGAGTCATGCTATTTGGTATTACCGGGCCAAAAAGTTTATAATGACCATGACCATGAATTGGTTTATGTATTAGAAAGAGATTCAAAGAAGTCTTTAAAGACATCTCGTTGAAGACGTCTTTAGAATGTCTTAGTTATAAAAACGTCTTTAGGCAAACCTCTGAAAGACGTTGGGTTTTGTAAAATACGACGTCTTTAAGATGTCTTTCAGAGTGACGCCTCAAAGACGTAAGAGGTCTTGAATGTTGTTTGGGGACATCTTAATAAGGACGTCTTTAAGATGTCTACGAAAATTTCTCACATAATTAGTTTTTCATTCAATTTATAAGTTATTCGAAACCATTTAGAATGCTACTTCAAAAAACTTAAAATTCAATTCAGAATTTCCTGCAGCGCTTCAGAACAATTTAAAAACTTCAGAGCCATTTTAGAAAGCTCCAAAACATTCAAAAACCGATTTACAATTTCTAAAAGCATTTTAAAACATTTCAGAAGTTTGAAATTTGAAACCCATTGTAGGACGCTCCAAAACACTCAAATACTCTAGATTCTCCAGAAACATGTGAAAAGTGCCAGAATCTTTAGGATATTATTCAGGTTAAAAGTTACCAAATCAGAATTTCCAGGTGCATTTTGAAAAAATTTAGAACTTTCAGAGTTATTTCAGAACAATTAGGATTCAATTTAGAACTGGAAACATTTTAGAACTCTTTCGAATTAATTTAGACCACTTTGGAACTTCAATATTTGGCTCTAAAATACTCAAAAATCTATCAGAAAAATTTACTGAAAAACTTCTTAAATACTCCATAACTCTTCAAGCCAAGTTTAGAACACTTTAGAAGTTCAATAAGCCATTTAGAACGTTCAAAAAAACTTTCCAGTGACATTTTGAAAAGCTTCACAACAATTTAAAAACCTCAGAATTAGTATTTCAGAGAGCCTATAATATACACCGTGATTATCGTAGCCCGTGCATTAGAATTCAATTGGATAACAGGTGGATATATGTACAGTTGTGATCAAAAAAAAAGTAGTACAAGAAAAATCTTCAAAATCTCCTGGTCTATTATACATTAATTTAATTCATAACCAAAAATGACATAGTTTTGGCATTTTTGACAAGTTTTTAACCTAGAAAGCTTCAGATGACATTATTTTGACATTTTTCCACCCGTTTTTAACCTAGAATATGTCATTGCATATCAAAAGTTTGTATGTTACACCGGGAGCTCAAATTGGGGTTAATAATTTTTGTAGGTACTATTTTTTTTTGATCGCAACTGTACATATATGAAATGTCATTGACATATTATATACACCTGTAAGTTAATGCACAAGCTACGTAAAAAACCCTGTATAGCGTTATGACTAATGATAAGGAAGTGTTAGCGAAAAAAATTTTCTCTTTCAATTCAAATTTTTATAATTTTTCCTATTCCAGGCTCATGATTTTTCCATATTTTTGGGACTCAAATTTTTTAATTCCGAGTTCTTGAATTCTCAGTAATCCCGTATTTTAGAATTTCAGGCTCTTGATTTGTTTTTTAATTTTCACTCCTATAATGTTTTCTTCCAAAATGATTTTTTTCTATTTTGATATTTAAAGTGACACTTTTCAAAACTCGTTGACGTTATCAAATGTTCCCTCGTTTTTATTCTCATCGGTGACTTCACCGATGAGTTAGCTATCTTTGTTTAGTTAATGGAAAATGACAATGACGGCCATAGAATGGTGGATCCATCGATAAAATTTGATGAGAATAAGAACGCAGGGTGTCTTTCTTTTCATCACCAGTTACGAGAAGTAAAATTTTTCGCAACTGGTGATCTAAAGTAAAGTTCACCATTAGTTGCACAAAATACAAGAAGAAAATTTGTGATACTTTTGGGGCTGAACTACTCGGAGTACTTTGTTGCTAATTAATTCTTTGTACGGACATATTAAGGAGGGTTTAATTTTATTCAAATTAATTAGGTACATATAATATGACAGTATGAAAAAAAAAATCTAATTAGTTATAAATATTAATACTCAACATAATTTGAACAATTATTGATGATATTGACAACAAAGTTTTCTGTGTAGCATTAATTAAATGAATAAATTGAATGTTTTTTTCATGGAAGTCTTTCCAAGGATGTTGGTGAGAATTTTCTGTTTTTTATAGTTATGAAATTTTCCACATAGCCCTTAGCGGCTGTATTAGACTTCCACCCCCCACGGTATTTAATTCTCAGCAAATCATCCACAGAATCTACGAGCAGAGTAGGTATAGTCTAGGAAAATAGTCGAAAAATACATGTATTGCAAAAAAAAAATTCCTACCCAAATGAACTTTTCAGGGATGATAGGGGGCGGGTGGGTGATCATAAAACCGAAAATATCAACCATTCACCCCTCTGGCGTTTTGCGCTATAGGGGTTGATAGTGCGCCATTGGCGATTACTTGGTACCTATTGATTTTACAAAAAAATGTTTCAAATAAAAGATGTGCAACATTATTATTTGATCTACAATGTTTATCTAAAGATTTTTTTGATTAAGGGCCATCTGTGGTCATAAGAGTCGTTTGAAATTTTATAATGAAAATGAAAAATTTTAACCAACGTGAAAAAATTTTCTACAACTCATACAACATTTTTGCTTCATGAAGTTTTTACTCACCCCCTGCCGTTTTTCAATAGGGGTAGTTGAAAGTTTTTTTATTTTTTTACAAAAAAAATTTCTCAATAAAAGTTTTATAAGATGTCATTTTCTACAATTTTTCCTAATCAACTTTTTTTGTAACTCACCCCCATTCAGCGGGGGGACACTTCCCTCGGGGAAATTTTAGTTTTTAGGGGTATATTTAATTTTTTTTTTTTTTCTCGCCTTTAGTGCATATAATAAGTTGCAATTAACATTGTATTAAAAGGATTTTTTTTTCACTACCTTTTTGTTTTTAGGGGTAGTTCGCCTATTTTCAACTTAACAAAAAAAAAATATTGAGAAAACTTGTTCATTTTATTATTTTGAGCAACTTTTATCTATAACTTTTTTTTGTTAAGTTGAAAATAGGCGACTACCCCTAAAAACAAAAAGGTGGTGGAAAAAAAATCCATTTAATACAATGTTAATTGCACCTTTTTATATGCACTAAAGGCGGAAAAAAAAAAAATTAATATATACCCCTAAAAACTAAAATTTCCCCGAGGGAAGTGTCCCCCCTCTGAATGGGGGTGAGTTACAAAAAAAGTTGATAAGGAAAAATTGTAGAAAATGTCATCTTATAAAATTTTTATCAAGAAAATTTTTTTGTAAAAAAATAAAAAAACTTTAAACTACCGCTATTGAAAAACGGCAGGGGGTGAGTAAAAACTTCATGAAGCAAAAATGTTGTATGAGTTGTAGAAATTTTTTTCACGTTGGTTAAAATTTCATTTTCATTATAAAATTTCAAACGGCCCTTATGACCACAGACAGCCCCTAATCAAAAAAATCTTTAGATAAACATTGTAGATCAAATAATGTTGCACATCTTTTATTTGAAATTTTTTTTTGTAAAATCAATAGGTACCAAGCAATCGCCAATGGCGCACTTTCAACCCCTATAGCGCAAAACGCCAGAGGAGTGAATGTTTGATATTTTCGGTTTTATGATCACCCACCCTCCCCCTATCATCCCTGAAATAGTTATTTACATTACAAGTGCGTTTATGAACATGATTACAAAAACGAGTGTGAAAGATTAGTTCTAATCACACGAGTTTTGTAACATGTTTAAACGCACGCGTGATGTACAACGTTTTATCCACAAAGCGAAAAATAAGAATGTTTTTTCAATTATTTTCGTTTATCAGTAGTTGTCTACCTTCATTTTACCTTTACAGGTTTACCTTTGACATTTGTCAAATCACCAAAAATAGTTGTGTTATAGATTCATAACCTCGTCCATAACACCACTAGTTGTGTTATAAATTCATAACCTAGTCTATAACACCACTAGTTGCGTGATGAGTCTCATGACACAACTCAAATACTAGAAAAATAGTTATGTAAAAATGTCATAACCAAACGCT